ATAGATAGATAGATAGATAGATAGATAGATAGATAGATAGATAGATAGATAGATAGATAGATAGATGAGTAAATAAATGAGTAAATAAATGAGTAAATATGAATAAATAAGTAAATTTTAAAACCACAAACAACAAAAAAGCAACTCTGTCTCTGAAAACAGAAACTTCTTGTTGAGTTTTGATGAAGTATAAAAGAATTATTGGAAGAGATTACCAAAATAAACACAGACACACCCATTATAACTTTATGTATATCTCCACAAAGCTGTATTTCTCTGAACTGTTGTAACCAAAGCAACATTTGAGAGCCCAGCTGTATTCTGTTAAATCCTGGACATTAAGGAGATTAATGTAAAACAATGCCAATTTTCTCTCACTCATTTTTGTTTAGGAAAATAGTTATTTTTCATAAAATGTGTTTATATGACTTTGCACTAGGTTTATTACTGTTATTTTTAGATAAAACACAGATTTTTTTAATGTTCTGTTTTAATTTCTAATTTGATAAATACTGATAGCTATCAAGCATGTTTGTGAAAGCTTCTAGGAATCCTCAGTAATTTCTGAGGGAATCCAAAGATCTGACACTAAAGCCAGTGACTTAACAGAGTCATCCATGTTCTATCGCCTTGCCCCGGACAGCGCATGAAATTTGTGTGAACCTGAAAACCAGACAGGGTGAAGAGTTTCGTGCTGCCTTTCAGAACGGAGCTGAGTTCCGTGGGAACGAAGCATCCAAATCTTCACGCAAGGATCGCATCTCTTGATTAGTTGCTATCCCTTCATCTGTTTTGTTAATCATTCCTAGAATAACAAAAGACTTTAAATACGCCCAGAAACCCAGCCAGACCCTCAAAGAATCATGTGCCTGGCATCAGGTTGGCACTCCTTTTTGTGTGAGCATGGTTTTTCATGGATCCCTCTTGGTTCCCTAATAACAGCTTTCTTGAGAAGGTTCCTCTTGCTGATTCTGCTGACAACCTTCTGTGTCCACGTGCAGACCACCACATCCTGTCCCATGTCACGCCCAGAGAGCTTTAAGCTTTCCAAATGATTGAGATTTCAACCTTTTTTGTATATTTTACTTATATTCACCTTGTGGATTCTAAATATTGGTTAGCAAGTCAATTCCCCGCTTCAGGGGAACTCTTGGAAGTTGGTGTTTAATTCTGTGGCCCATCTGTAGCAACACTGTGAGGGATAGCAGCAGGGTCTTGAAGATCCACCTCACTTCCAGCCCTGCTGCGTGCCTCTAGGTTCTTCCTGTGTTCGAGATGACTAAGTGGCTTTCTCTTTTTTATTTATTTTTTGTTTTGTTTTGTTTTGTTTTTGGACCTTCCTTTGCTTTCTTCCCTAACAGGCCTCTCTTCTTTTCTTGCAGGTACAGTATTTGGAAATGGGAAAACCTCAGATTACCTGCTTCTGGGAAACTTTGTTTATACTGTGAGTTCAGCCCCGTTGCCTGTTTATGTCTAAGGCTACTGCCTTTCATCTCTGCCCCCTTTCCCTTCAGATTTAAATGTGTGCGGGTTGGGTCATTTACAGGTTTCCTTTAAAAATCAAATAAGGCATTTGAAGTATTAAAGAGCTTTCTGCTTAGGTTTTGTTGGGTTTGTTTTGTATATTTTGGTCTTGTTTTGAGATAGGACCTCACTGCCTAGCCTCAGTTGAGGTGGAGACCCCAGGACTGAAGGGATCCTGGAGAGGAACTGAGGCTCAGCACTGAGAGAGGCCATTGGTAAAAGTACAGTTTCCGTTACTGTAGCCCAGGATATTGGAGCTACCAAAACTCTGAGATGATTGCCACAGAAAACTAGAGCTGGGGGCAGGGTGGAGACACTAGTTAGCCCAATGGCAGCCATGACGGAGTTAGAGAGAGACAATGCATGCACCCACAGGCTTCCTCCCTTTCCTCTTTTTTTCCCCCCTAATCTGGGCCCTCACCTTATGTGATGGCACCGCCCACATTTAGAGTGAGTTCTCTTTTAGACGAAGCTTTCTGGAAATGCCCTTGCAGACAACCCCAGTGAGGTTTACCAGTCTTTCTAGGTGCTTCTCAGTCCTCTTAGGCTGGCAGTCACAATGTGTCTTCCTAGGAGGGAAGCCTCAACTGTTTCAGTTTCAGTTTGAAGGAGCTGAATATACTGATGAATGAACTTGTCCAATTCACTAACCAAAGCAGCTTGTCGAGTGACTCCAGGGCAGGCGCATCTAACCACGGCAGTGTCTGTGTGAGAGACACAGAGCAGTCCAGCGTTCCTCACTTCTGAATTACCCCTTGTTTAGTCAGGGTTTCTGCTGCTATGATGAAACACCATGACCAGTAACAACTTGGGGAGAGAAAGGGTTCCTTACACTTACTCTTACCTATCGTTGTTCATCACAGAAGGAAGTCAGGGCAGGAACTCAAACCAGGCAGAAGCCTGGAGGCAGGAGCTGATGCAGAGGCCATGGAGGATGCTGCTTACTGGCTTGCTCCTCATGGCTTGCTCAGCCTGCTTTCTTATAGAACCCAGGACCACCAGCCCAGGGGCTGTCCCACCCACAATGGGCTGGTTCTTTCCACAGCAATTGCTTATTAAGAAAATGTCCTATAGGCTTCCCTACAGCCCGATTTAATGGAGACATTTTGTCAATTGAGGTTCCTTCCTCTCAGATGGCTTAGGCTTGTGTCAGGTTGCCACACACTAGCCAGGGCTCCCCTGTAATCAGCACAGACGGCCTGTGGCTCAAGAAGAGGCTGACTCTCCTGTCCTGCATTTTCAGAATTATATGGACGTGAAGTTCCAGAGTCAAGGCTTAGATTCCTAAGCATCTGGTTGTTTCACTGCTATGATTTATCTTTAAAATCCGGGAAGTGAGCTTCTAGTGGAAAAGATTCAGTTAAAGGAAGTGCAAAACTCCAAATTAACATAAGCACATTCTATCACTCTTTGTGAATTGTACAGAGTATTGATAGCAGTACCCTCTGAGGTCTCCTTGGTGGAGAGAACAGCAAGAACCATGTAATTGGCAGTTACTGCCATGTGCTAATGAGAGCCACTCACCTGATCCATGAGTTTGATGAGCACGTAGCTGGCTTAATTCAGGCCTGTTTCCTCTATGGAAATCTCTCTGTCCATTGATAGAGCATGGTACCTATGAGACAAAGTAACGTTTCCCCTTTCTGTTTTCAGTTTGTAGTGATAACTGTGTGTTTGAAAGCTGGACTGGAAACCTCGTATTGGACATGGGTAAGACGATCTGTAATCATTTGTCTCTTTATTACAAAGCCTGCAGCTATTGATTGTGGAGCATTTGGGCATGGAGGGAGAGGAAGTAGGGATTATATATGGAAAACACTGAGTTACACAAGTTTATTACTGAGACCTCTCTAGCCTTTGACTCAGTATTGTACACTGTTACTGCCTCAAAATGATAGTTGTACATTTGCTTAGACGGGTCATAGGGCTGGTGTTCCATACAAACCGATTAGAAAATAATTCTGAAGAACAATTAAATTAGTGAGAGATCTGTCCTCAGACACACATGCATGGTCTCTATAAAACATGTTCCGCTTTCAACACATTGTTTTTTTGTAGACTGTCCACTTGCAAGTAGAGGGATTCAGTAAAGAAAACAAAATTACAGTTTGATGCTCACTGGAGAAATTAGAACAAGGAACTTAGATTTGACACCCCTTGACTTACACATAACGCTCTCTTGTGTGTTTAATATCTTTGAGGAAGAACATACAGAGCAAAGATAAAGGAGAGGGGAAATAGCCATGGATTAAAAAAAAGACTAAGTTTAGAGTAGAGAATAGTGACGGAGATTATAGAGTGAATGCATACAATTATAGCACAATTCCAGAAAGTTGTATTTCTCTGATTTAACATAGAAGAGAATCTGTGACATTGTTTCTTCCGTGTCTGTGTTCTTGGCTGGTTGAGTGTCTTGACCCAAACTTCCTTCCTTGCAGTTCAGCCACATTGCCATCTGGGGCAGCATCGCGCTCTGGGTGGTGTTCTTTGGAATCTACTCATCTCTGTGGCCTGCCGTTCCCATGGCCCCTGATATGTCTGGAGAGGTAATATTTGCTAATGACTCATGACCCAGCAGAACCTTAGAAACGGGTATCCATTAATGAGCCTTCATCGTGCTCAACATGACTTTCCATTTTGTGGGTCTCAATTCAACTAGCATTTGACCACCCTCAAATGCCACAGGCGGGAGAGATAAATCTCCACCCAGTATTTTAAGCTTCAGCGTTTAACTTAAATCTGACTTATCCTTTCATAAACATAACTGGACCGATAAAATATGGTTGTAGTGAACTTGAATCTTGTCACGAATACCCGTATAGAAGATGCCACTTTAAAAACTAGACCATAAATCCACAAATGCATTTAGGATAAGAGTCTTAGGCAAATGGTACGGCTCCTTCTTTGGGACAATCTGTCATTCCTTCTGTTGTCTCTCATTCCAAAAAGAAGTCAGACATCACTAGAAATACACTTGAAAATACACTTGAAAAGCGAATTTAATGGCATCAGTTTAACTCTCATTTTTTTTGAAGGAACCAAGGCACGTGACGTCTTGGCCTTATCGTACTCCATTTTCAGTTCTGTCTTTCAGTTTCTTGTTACACTGGGAGGAATTGAGTTATTAGGTGTTCGTGGGGGAGTGTCAAAAGATCCCCTTTCCCTCAGAAGAGGGTCCAGCAGTAGGAGGGTTTATGATTTCAATTGCAGGAAATTTGACATAAAATGTATAAAAGAAAATGTGGAAAACATTTCGGGATTTCCTGTGACCGCACAGTAACTTGCAAATCAAGGTAACGTGAGCCCCGTTGCAGGCTGTTGTTTCACCGCGTTCACAAGAACCCTCTCTGGTGGTTTGCACGTATTCCCTGCCCGTAAGTCTGCCTGAGTACCCTTCACTTTTGACAGTCTGGTTTATAGATCATTTTCATGAAATTTGATCTGACAGCACCCTGCTTCTTATAAATTAACAGAATGCAGACACTTTTTTAAAAAAATGTGGTTAGATTTATTAAAGAGAGAGAGGCATTATGTACTATTACAGGGAAACCAGATGCACCGGGAAGACTGCTCTTCCCTCCAATAATCGTGAAGGCATCTTTTGAAACACACGCTGTGAAGTCAAGAAAATTTACAGCATCTGTTTTAGAGCGAGCAGAGAGGAAGCTGCAAATGCACCTCCTCTTCGCCCTGGTGCTGAAGTCTTTTGTTCCGGGAGAGAAAAATATTTACCTGTATGTGACAGTGTGGGTCTCCAGTCTCTGACGATGCTGTGTGGGAGCCCCCAGTCCTGCTGTGTCCCTTTGTTGTGATGTCTGCCTGTACCTGCTTTTCCCCAAAGGTCAATTCCATCTGAAGCTCTTTCACTGCACATTAAGTCTGCTCCACTCACCTTATTTTTCATGTTTATTTTATCTTCAAAATGAGTACCACATAAGGTTTTGAGACCTCGATCATTAAGCAACTGTGGCCAGTGGGTCTGATGACAAGAACTGAGTTTTTGACCACCTACTTCTAAGGACAAGTGTAAAGTATGGTTGGCCTTTAGCCAACCAAATATAATTCTGCCCCTGCCTGTAGAATTCCTGGTATTACCCAAACACGGAACTTAATATTGTCTCTTGAGATGCACAGCAATGCTGTGTTTAATTCAAAGTGAAACAAATGTCAGTACTCCGTCACGTTTTTGTTCCCTTCATGGACGGTGGGAACTGCTAATGGGACTTCTGTTTCTTCCTGCTTTATAACTACCTCGACTTTGACTAAAGTATTTACATAGCTGGAGCTTCATTGAGAATAGGACTGAATTAGTTCAGCTGTAGGCTTTCCTGGTATATCCAAAGCGTGTCAGTTTCGCTTACTCAAGGAAAAGATTGATTCTTGAGCACTATGTTGTACCTCAGTGTTTGTCACATATTTTGATGTGTGTGTACATGAGTGTGTGTGTGTGTGTGTGTGTGTGTGTGTGTGTGTGTGTGTGTGTGTTCACATGAACCTCATCTCCAGCTAAGGGTTTGACAGAAATGCCATTCGTGTTGTCAAACATCGGTGGTGTCCGTTTGTTTCTTGAGCAGCGAGGTAATAAGAGCCCCTGTTATGTTAGCTTGGAACATTCATGGTAAGCACAGTCGCTGGTTATACTAAAACTCTAAAATCATTTCAGAAAGAAAGAGATTTCTTTTGTGTGGGAAATTTTACATATCCTAAAACTCTGTATTTCAGTTGAGGCTACAGACTGTATACACATGGATGTGTAGTCTCCGTTTCTAGGCCAGTGTTTGATATCTGCTGTAACGTTGTGCAGAAGTTAGCTGACAGTCTTACAGTTTATTTACCCACCTAGCTTTCACAACAAAGCCATTGCGGCACATACATGCAAAACTTTACCGTAGGTAGCAGCAGTCAGCACTGGCTGGCTTGGCGTGTGCTGTATAACATACACGTGAAACACCACCCCGGGCAGTGCCCAGAGTGGAGGTTATTTCACAGAACTCCTGACTCAGTGTGTCAGAGCTCTCCATCACCAGTGTCTGGTTCAGAGTGTCTACATGCCCTAAAACCCCATCCTTCCCTGTCTCAACAGCACTTCCTTCCGAGACTAAATTATATACATAGGTATGTTTTCAGTTAGGCACTGAAAAACTTTCAGATAGGCACTCTCCAAAGTGATAGAACAGAAGATGGTGTAGGCAGGCTTTGAAGGCTGAGGTACTTTGTGGCCTTAAAGGGACATTGGCTGAAGAGAGGAGCTACTCCAAAAGGCAGCCAAGATCTGGGAAGCCAACACCTGTCACCCCAGTAAAGCTGAACACTGGCTTTCCCTCAGGTACTCTTTCCAAGGATATATGCATAGTCAGTCAGTCAGTCTAAATATATATATATATATTTCCTGGGATTCTTCTATGCAAGCTACTGTTCTAGGCACTGGGTTCAGAAATGACAGAAACCACGCCCCCCTGCAGCTGGCTTCTCTGGTTGAAGGAGAAAAGTCAATAGATGAACAAGTGGAATGCACATGGTCAGAGAAGTACAGCAGGTAAGGGTACCAGGAGCCGGAATTCCCATGTAACCCTGTGGCTTTTGCTCATGATCAGACAAAAAGCCATTGGAGGAACCTGAAGAAGTTCTCAGGCTCTACCTTGACTTTTGCACAGGGCTCTGACTATTGTGTCATGAACCTACATGTGGCTATTTCAGGGAACCAGGTGAGAGCTAGGGATGGCTTGGATCAGGAAGGGAGGGCAGCAGTACTGAGAAGAGGTCAAAGGCCAAGAGCTTGAAGGTTAAAGTGGTGGGATTTGCAGGTAGATGGAGTGACCAGAGGGAGAGGAGGTATCAGAGCTGATTCTGGTGTGTTTGCTGTCAATAAGATAAGGACATGTTAGACATTAACTTCCTGGTTCCCCTCACAAACTTGTTTTAGTAACCAATTTAAGGCACCAGGGGTTAAGTCTGACCTCCCATAGAATGTGGCAAAGAGGAGACTTTCAGCAATGCTTCTTCTCCAGTATTAGGTGCTTAGTCAGGACACCATGTGTCTGCAAGGGTGCTCCTTCCTGGTGGGTGTCTCATGGATTTGCATAGAAGAGGAAACCTGTTATCCGCTGTCCTGCACGGGTGCTTTTCCCAGGCACTGATGCTGCAAGGGTCCTTGCAAGGCCACAGCAAGGAGTCCGAACGTTGCCGTCATCTTTGTTTCTTTGCTCATCCACTTAGACGGTGCAGGGTTGTCATGGGGCCCCGTGGTGAACATTAAATGTGCATTAATTTAAACTTCTGCTGTGTCTTCCACAAGCAGAAGAAAAACAGTAGGGTAGAAGATGCAGAGAGGTGGATTTCAGCTCCGATAACTCTTCCATTTGAGGCAGACAGCAGGATGCTGGGCTTCCAGTCACACTGTGGTGATGGGGACCAGTCCAGTCACCAGCATCACTAAGGCAACGAGTCATCCACCCACACCTCCATGATGCCTTCTGGTTTCTATGCATCCTCTCCTCCCACCCCCTACCCCATGGTTTCTATGGCCTCTCAGGTGGATCCAGTTGAAAGGGCTCAGACTCTTGCTCTAGCTCACAAGTTTAAGGGTGTGAATTTTACAAGTCAGACAACTTACAGATATGGGCCCAAGCTTCTAAATTCATACAGGCACTCCTGTGCGGTTCTGGATTCTGTAGTCATCTCCACCTTCTGCTTTTGGTTCATCTTTGCAGCCCCATCTGAAGACACATCTGTGGAAGAGAAAACAGAGTGGAAGGAAGAGAGCCAGTGCCTTTTATGCACCCAGGGTGCTCTCCGGGTGGCGCATTTCAGGGCAGGCATGACTTAGGTTAGTCAGAGTCATATTGCCGTAAGCAGAGGAATAGCCAATAGCCAGCTAGTGACCCGGAGAATGCAATTCCAAACTTTACTTTGCAGTCCCACTGGTTTCCTCTAACATGCTGAGGAGTTTTATACCTTCTCTCTGGTGCCCATTGCTGTTCCTACACCCAGATGGGAGCTCCTTCTTTTCCTCTTGCAGCCATCTTCCTGCACTCACTTGTCCTGTTATTTCATAGCTTACCCAGAGCCCTAATCAGTCCCCAAAGTTAACCAAGTATGAAACTGTTCTCATCTCTTTAAAAGCACCTAGAGTTCTAATCACAAGGTTTTAGCACCCACCTCTATTCAGCCCATCTATAAAAATCCTACCTTCACCTTCACCACGGCAGGAGAAATGGCCCAGTCAGTGAAGTACCACCAAACAAGCATAAGGACCAGAGTTCAATCCCTGATCCCAAAGGTTTTTTGGTTGTTTGATTGGTTGTGTGTTTGTTTGTTTGTTTGTTTTTAAAGCCAGGTGTGAGATGATGTAATCTTATGCTTATAAACCCAACATTGGAAAGACAAAAACAAGCAGATCACAGGGACTCATTAGCCAGCCAGAATAGAATAACCTACTTAATGAGCTCCGAGCCAAAGAGAAATCCTGTCTTAAAAAAAAAAAAAAAAAAAAAAAAAAACAAGATGAACAATGCCCAAGAAATAATACCTAAAGTTAGTTGTCTCT